CCTTGGCCCCGCCTTATAGGCGTGACAGTTGCCGAAGTCTCAATGGGGGTTGGAACTTCCAGATCAAAGCTGGAATGGCTACCCACTACAACTGACAACCACAGATTTCGAGTGATGTGAGTTTGGTTAGATGAGATTTTACTGACAGCAGATATCTGAGTGCAGGCAAGGTGAAGAAAGGCAATTAGGCTAACCCAGGCTAATACCTGTCGCCAGACAGATACATCACACAATGAAAGGACAGAAGAGTATTAAGTAACCAAGGTTCACCCATGCTGAGAAGCATTCCATGCTCTATGCATACTGTTTTTATCCATGTACCAGTTAACAGATACTATAATCTGGGGACTCTTGGAACTGTTATCAATAATGTTATTATGAACATTTGCATACAAATCTTTTCTTGGGTACCAAGGAGTGGAATTGCAGTGACATCTAAAAATGTATGTTTAAAATTTTTGAATAAAGTATGGAACCATTCCATAGAATGGCTATCCCCCCCTCTCAGTCCCCCTAGTAACACATGAGGGTTGTGGGTCCCTCCTACTTACCAACACAATATTGTCGTTATATTTGTTTGCTGCCATCTTACTGAGTATGTAGTGTCATCTCGCTGAGACTTTCATTCAATAACTTCTAATAAGTTTTAATATGTCCTCTCACCATTATCTGCAACTTGGTTAGGATTATCCCATTTTCTTCTAATACATCATCAAACAATTTGTGCTTGAACTTCTGCTTTCTTTGATAGTACAGGAGAGATGCATTGCTGTTTCATGCTGGAAATTATTCTTTTTTCTATAAATTTGGGGATGAATTTTCTGGGTTTTTTTTTCATTCTTCTCTCATATATTACAGCCCTACTTCAATTTCCCCTCCCTCCCCTCTCCCCAGTCTCTCCTCTGCCACTTCCCCTAACCCCCAAAACAGGGCAGGCCTCTCAGAGACATCAATCAAACTTGGTATAACAAGTTACAATAAGATCAGGCACATACCATCACATCAAGGCTGGATGAGGCAACCCAGTAGGAGGAAAAGGGTCCCACAAGGAGGCAAAAGAATCAGAGATAGTACCTACTCCCATTGTTAGAAATCCCACAAGAACATCAAGCTACTCAGCCATAACAAATATGCAAAGGACCTAGGTCAGACCCCTAGAGGCTCCCTGATCTCTGTAAGCCCCTATGAGTCTCTGGTCAGTTGATTCTATGGGCTGTGTTCTCACGGTGTCCCTGACTCCTCTGGTTCCTCTGATCCTTCCTTTCCATCCTCCACAGGACTCCCCAGGAGTCTCCTAATGTTTGGTTGTGAGAGTCTGCATCAGTTGCTGAATATATTCTCTGGTCTCTTTGATGACAATTCTGCTAGGCTCAGTCCCAGAACACTTTGCAGGTAGGACTGTAGGTTGAAGGTTTTGTGACTAGGCTGGTGTCCCAGTCCCTGTACTTGAGGCCTTGCCTGGTAACAGAAGATGGCTGGTTCAGGCTCCGTGTCCCCCATTACTAGGAGTCTTTGCTAGGGTCATCGTCATAGATTCCAGGGAGTATCCATTATACTAGGTTTCTACCTTGTCCACCCCCAAATGCTCCAATTCCAGTCATTTCTCCTAGTATTTTCTCCCTCCTTCCCTCATCCCTCCTATTCCCAGTCCCAAATACCCCTAATCATCCCATGAAATCTATTCTATTTCCCCTTCCCAGGGAGATCCTTGTGTCCCCTTTCAGCCCTCCTTGTTACTTAGCTCCTATGAGATGATCCTTCTATACACTGTGAATCCATATTACTCTCATTGGTTAATAAGGAATCTGTTTGGCTCATAACCAGGCAGGATAAGGTTAGGCAGAAAACCAAACTAAGGATGGGAAGAAGAAGGGCTGAGTGAAGGAGAGATGGAAGGAGTCGCCCAGGAAACAAGATGCCAGAGAACAGGTAAAGCCAGGGCCACATGGCAATACATAGATGAACAGAAATGGGTTAATTTAAATGTTAAGAGCTAGTTAAGCTAGATAAGTCTGAGTCAATGGCTGAGCATTTTATAATTAATATAAGCTTTTGTGTGTTTATTTGGGACTGGGCAGATAGGACAAAAAACTCTGCCTCTGCTTACACTTAGCCTCTCTGGATGTGTGGACTGTAGCATAATTATCTTTTACTTTACAGTTAATATCCACTTATGAGTAACTACATATCATGTTTGTCTTTCTAGGTATGGGTTATCTGACCCAGGATGATTTTTTTTATTCCATCCATTTGCCTTCAAATTTCCTGATGTCATTGTTTTTAACAGCTGAGTAATACTTCATTGTGTAATTGTACATTTTCTTTATCCATTTTTAGGTTGAGGGACACCTAGGTTGTTTCCAGTTTCTGGCTATTATGAATAAAGCTGCTATGAACATAGTTGAGCAAGTACCCTTGTGGTAGCATGGAGCATTCTTTGGGTATATGCCCAGCAGTGGTATAGCTGGGTCTTGAGGTTGATCAAGTCCCAACTTTCTGAGAAACTGCCACATTGATTTCCACAGTATCTGTACAAGTTTGTGTTCCCACCAGCAATGGAGGAGTATTCCTTGCTCCACATCCTCTCCAGCATGAGCTGTCACTTGTGTTTTTGATCTTAGCCATTCTAAAAGGTGTAAGATAGAACTCAAAGTAGTTTTGATTGAATTTTCCTGATGGCTAGGGATGTTGAACATTTATTTCTTGGCCATTTGAGATTCCTTTGTTGAGAGTTCTCTGTTTAGATCTGTACCCCAGTTTTTAACTGGATTATTACTTTGTTGATGTCTAGTTTCTTGAGTTCTTTATATATTTTGGATATTAGCCCTCTGTCAGATGTGGAGTTAGTGAAAATCTTTTCCTATTCTGTGGGCTTCCATTTTGTCTGAAAATTATTCTTAAAATTGTGTTTTTCTGTCTCTATTTTATTTTTATTTTATCTTCGGAATCACTTCATAACTTCTATGTCAGAATCCATTCCTTTTTTTTTCCTGTTTCATCTTTGGAAAAGGATGATGACTTTAACCTGAACTGCTGGTTACCTGGTGGTGATTGGATTAAATTCCCAGACCCCTCCCTGACAACTCTACTGATGACAAATCACTGCTGAATTCTAACAAGAAGGAAATCTCCATAGCCTTGCAGTCTGCAAGGAGGGCTTGGGGCTGGGGAAATCTCAGCAATCACATTTTTGGATCTGCCCTTTGGTTGAGAAGCCAACTCACAGTGATATGTTTGCTCCTCCCTTCGCTGGACTCCGTGTGACCAAGGGGGTTTCTGTTCCTGATACTGCTCCCTATGATTTGGGGGCCTACCCTCATCTCATTAGTGAGAAATCATGTCAGGCCAAGATCCGATGTCTGCTGGCCTCCCGTTTGGCACAGCCCTGTCACTCTTGCAGCCCCATCACAGCCACAGCCACAGCCACACTCTACTGCTCTGTTATGAATGAACAGAGCTGGGCGGCATGTTGCTCACTGTCCCCTCCTCCTTTGCTCATGAAACGCACTCCTCTCAGCAGGATTTTCATGTTGGGTACGTGAGTCCTTTAGATCTGCAGACTTGGGTGACTCTCCATTGCATAAAAAAAAAAAAAAAATTGTTTAATGCAATTTATTTTCCATCTGTCCTTATTTCAGCTTATTTATTTGTGAAGGGTGGGGTGTGTGTGTGTGTGTGTGTGTGTGTGTGTGTGTGGTGTGTGTGTGTGTATAAAGAGCAAACCCTGGCCTTTGTTCGTACAGTGCTCTCAGGCCTGCCCTGATCTCTTTGGCTTATATTTATCGATATTTTGGTATCATTTTTCTTTCATGTTTCTCAATTTCCCATCATCTTTGTGGTTTGTGTCCTTCTTTTTTTCAATATTCCGAGAAAGTACTGGAAATTATCTTCTGCATCTCCTGCATAATAATAAAAATCTCCTTTGCTTCATGTCCTTCTAATTCTCTCTCCCTCTCCTCCCCTCCATACCCCACCGTGTACGTGTTTGTGTATTTTAATTTGAAACGTTCTGTAGCAGGCCTGGAACTCACTATCACCCCAGACTACCCTTAAACTCACATCGGTCTCTCTGCCTCGACCTCCTGAGCGCTGAGATAATCGGCCTGGATCATGTCCAGCCTTGAGTTTGGCAGGTAGACCTACCACACCCCTGGTTTTGTCTCCCTGTTTATTGACTTACTATTTCACCACACTGTGAACATATCGTGACGACAGCAGCTCCTTGTTTTCCTGACTTGAACTGAAATTTATTTAGCTGTGTATCCTATGAATCACCCCACCCTCACTTTCTGCTTTTACATTTAAAGTTATGCTTTGAATCTAATTAAACACTAATCTGGGTCTTTATTTCTTATGCCTTGAAAGAATCACTTTATTCACCTTGATACAATCCATCACTATATTAAATTTGACCTTTTATCATAGAGCTGCTAAAATGCTAAGAATTTAGTTAATCTCCTTAAAAGATGCTGTCAAAATACCCTAAAATCCCTACAGCAAATCTTTACCAAAACCACCTTTCTGCTTCTGCGTCTCAATGCCTTTGTTTTTGCATCCTGGCTTTGAAAGTCCCATATCGGATTGCCTGCTTCACTGTAGTTAGAAGAGGTCTACCAAGGGCTAGGTTTTCACTCACCACCTGCCTGGTGGGCAGTACTGCTCCCATCTTAACCATAAATGTGGCTTTATGGTCTTTCACATCACAGCTCAGAAAAACAGCCACAGGAGCATAGAAACTCTAGTGTTTGTCCTCATGTGTGGTCACACAGCTGAGTTCAGCTTTGTCTTGGGAGTCTTATCCCTAGCCCAGCATCTACAGAAGTAAAATGGCTTAGGCCTCCCAAGCCTCCATCCTGAATCATCTACCGGATGCACAAGTTTTTTTTTTTTAATTAAGAGATTTTTTTTATTCATTTCACATACCGATCACAGATCCCCCTCTTCCCTCCTCCCTCCCCTCCAGCCTTCCCCCACCCCACCCCACCCCCCCATTTCTTCCTACAAGAAGGTAAGGCCTCCCAGGGGGAGTCAGCAGAGCCTGGTACATTCTGCAGAGGCAGATGCACAAGTCTTACTGTGCTCCCAGCCTGTACTGGATGTGGTGACCGCCTGGTTCCTGAGGCTGTTGTCCAGTGTTTGAGTCCCAAGACAGCAGAGGAAGTGTGGGGTAGCTTGCTCTCTGGCTGTATGCCAGCTCACTCTTAAGTCTCCTCCAAATGGCATGGAAGTGTGTTTTATCACTTACTATTAACCCAGAAAGGACGTGTTGAATCAGCCAGTGGTTTTTCTTCATCTTTAAACCATCCTTAATGCCCCGAAGGCATACCAATTGGTTTATTGTGTGTGCTCAGTACCGTTCTCTCTTTACTGGAGGAAAGATCATATCCCACCAACAAATCTTAAACTCTCAGAACTGCTTTTATGTAATATACCAAATCCTGGAGAGAGAGAGAGAGAGAGAGAGAGAGAGAGAGAGAGAGAGAGAGAGAGAGAGAGATTCACAACATGCACAGCTAAATAAGCTCTGTTAAAGTCAGGGAAATGATGACCTAATATCATCACAAGTATCATTAATTCCTGGTGTGGGGAAATGAGTACAATGAGATGGGAGGAAACCGGGGACGGCAAAGCAACAAGTGGGAAAGTACCATGTGGGGTCGATCTATTTGAGAATGACATGGAAACGGGCTATAAACCTACCGGAACTGATGAAACAGTTAGTTCAGTATGTCATGATTTATAGTTGAGAGGAATATACTGAATACATTATAGGAGCTTGTTCACTTTTTGATTATATGAAATATGTCTGTTGTCTCTCTGTGTCTGTCTTTCTTTCTCTCTGTCTCTGTCTATCTGTCTGTCTTTCTCTGTCTCTTTCTGTCTATCTGTCTGTCTCTATCTCTCTGTGAGTGTGTGTGTGTGTGTGTGTGTGTGTGTGTGTGTGTGTGTGTGTGTAATATGAGGCTATCAAAATGTCTACAGTGGTTATCTCTTTGGTGATAACATAACAAATGTCCTGCCTTTCCCTTATCTGTAATTTCCAAATTCTCTACAGTGAGCAGGCATTGGTTCTATAATGGAAAGATAAATTTTTAAATGATGAAATGACAAGGAGTAATAAAATGCCTGGCTATGCTAGTCACTTCTCTATAATTCATGTTAGTAAATATTTAGGAATGCATTCAGAAAACCTTTCTGAAAATAGTTTTTCATGTTAAAAAAAAAAGACAGATTACTTATTTTGATGGTAGGCTCTCACACAAAGCACAAAGTGCATCTGAAGAATTAGTCTAACCAAGCATAAAAACAGCCAGAAGAATAAACACAAGAGCAAAGGACTAAAATCTTTCACAAAAGCTTTGCAGGTTTGGCTTTAATAACAGCAAAACCTTTCAGTGCTAAAATGCGCGCATGACTGTGAAGCTGGAGTGAAGCATTAGGAAGCCCTTGGACCTGCAGGATGCTCTCTTCACCTTGCAGACTCCCAGGCTCACCTCTGCCTGGAAGCCTGGGGAAAGGCAACATGTCCTCAGAGTTCAAGAGCTATTTCTAAAACCAAATGGCAAAACGACTTTCCAGGGTCACTCAGCTATTTCTCAGGATACAGAGATCTGGCTTCTGGTGCTGAGTCTTCAAGTGCAGATCGAATTTTAAGTTAGCAAATATCTGGTGGAATAGGCCATGCGTTTGAGGCACTTGACACAGAATGTAGCTAATTTAACTCTAACATCTCCAAAAGGTAAGTTTATTCTTTCCAGGACAGCTATGAGGACACCTAGGCTTTGTGAAGTGATGACTCTCACTCATGACGAGACCCAGGTGGGTAATGCAGTGTGTCTCACAAAAAAAAAAAGGAACAAATTAAGACCTATGGCAGAACTAGATTGACACCAAATGTTAAGACTGATGCTGCAGGTAAGGTCTGATAACTGTTGGGTGTCAGCCCTGGCACTACCTTCCTGGGGTAGATGGTCCAAACATTAAATGGACATTTTCCTTAGATCTTAAATAGTAGAAAGGACTATAAGAGAACAGCATGAGTGAAGTGTAAGATGACACAGCCTATCTGAAGGTTCTGACCCAGGCAAAAGCCCTGAGGGTGGAAAAGGCATCAAATGTCAGCTGTTCCTCCTCCTCCCCCTCCTCCTCCCCCTCCTCCTCCCCCTCCTCCTCCCCCTCCTCCTCCCCCTCCTCCCCCTCCTCCTCCCCCTCCTCCTCCTCCTTCTCTTCTTCTCTCTTGTCCTCCTCCTCCTCCTCTTCTTCTTTCTCATCTTCTTCTTCCTCCTCTCCTTTCTCTTCCTCCTTTAGGAGGTACTGTGATGGGAATTAAAGCCAGGGCCTCACACATGCTAAGTAAGTGCTCTACCATTTCAGCATACTCCCAGTCCTCAACCTTTTAATTATTTTTTAAATTATGCATATGTGGGTGGGTGGGTGCACATGAGTGCAGGTACCCTCAGAGGTCAGAGGCACAGAACGCCTGAAGCTGGAGTTACAGGCAGTTGTGAGCATCCCAGTGTGGGTGCTGGGAACCATATTCAGCCTCCCCAAAATAGCAGTCAGTGTACTTAAGCACCAATCATCTATCCAGCCCCTCAACTTCTTTTTTTTTTGAGTTTCTGTGGCCAACATTGAGAAAAGCCTAGAAAAAGACCAACATAAGCATGGTATAGTAAGTGACTCATGTGCCACCCTTGCTTTCCTTACGCCTTATCCTTTGAAATCAAGATGTGACCAGGACTGGGCCTCTTTAGGGCATTTGGACAGAATATATCCCCCACTTTATGCTGCATTTAGAGACTCCTCACACTTCCTTGTCCCTGGTTATCCTCCAACATGAAACCAGTAGCAAAGTATCTGTGTTCCTAGTCCAGCTTCGCCTTTCTCTCTGATAGCAGCAGGGAAAGAGCCTCTACTTTTAAGAGCTCTTGTGATTAGATTGTCTCACACATAAGGTGTGAGTTCAGCCCCTGGTACAGCAAAGGCAGAAAGAAATGACGGAGACTAGAGAAATGGTTCTGTGTTTAGACAGAGTGCTTGCTGCGTGGAGATCTGGGTTCAGTCTGTAGAACCACACAGCCACTCACAACCATCTGTAACTCGGTCCCAGGGATTCTGATGCTCTATACTGGCCTCCAAGAGCACTTCACGCACACAGTACAAAGATATCCATGCTGACAAGAGATTATATGCATAAAAAAAAACTATAAAAGAGAAGTGATAAAGACATAGAAATGTTCATTGTCCTGATTTAACTAATACATATTATATGAAAGTACTGAAACACCATGATATAATACACAAATACCCTCTACTGTTACATGTCTACCATAAAGAAAATACATTTAAACAGGATGAGTTACTATAGGCATAATTATAAATAGTCAATTTCCAGAAATCATGCTGTGTCACTGAAACTTTTCTTATGGTTTTATTTTTTTTCTTTCATTTTTCTTTATTAAGAAATTTTCTACTCACTCCACATACTATCCACAGATCCCCCCTCCCTCTTCCCTCCTCCCTCCTCCCACCCCCCAGCCCTCTTTCCCAAGCCACCTCGCATCCCCACATCCCCCAAATCGAGGTCTCCCTCCCATGGGGAGTCAGCAGAGCCCAGCACACTGAGCCTAGGCAGGTCCAAGCCCCTTCCCACTGCACCAAGGCTGTGCAAGGTATCATACCACAGGCACTGGATTCCAGAAGCCTGCCCACAGACCAGGGACAGATCCCGATCCCCCTGCCTGGGTGCCCCCCAAACAGTTCGAGCCAAACAACCATCTTCCATATCCAGAGGGCCTAGTCCAGTCCCATGGGAGCTCCACAGCCACCAGTCCACAGTTCATGGGCTTCCACTAGTGTGGCCGGTCATCTCTGCACATCCTCCCATCATAATCTCGACATCCCTCGCCTGCAGTATCTCTCCTCTCTCTCATCAATTGGATTCCCGGAGCTCAGCCTGGTGCTGGCTGTGGATCTCTGTATCTGCCTCCATCAGTCACTGGACAAAGGCTCTATGATGACAGCTAGGTTATTTGCTAGACTGGTCACTAGAGTAGACCAGTCCAGGCACCCTCTGGACCACTGCCAGCAGACCAAGGTGGGGTCAGCCGTGGTGTCACTGAAACTTTATATCCATTTTAAATAGAAGTTCCTTATTTGCACTTTCTCCCAACTTCTAGCAACCTCTCTATGAGGCTGACTAACTCGAACCTCCAAGCAGGTGGAGTGTTGCAGTTTATGTCCTTCTACGCCATTTCACTTAGCATAATGTCTTCATCAAATTGTACGCGATTATGTGCAGTTTTCTATACATGAGCTGTACTGTGATAAAGCTGGGTTTAAGATGAGATGTTAGCATACATGACACTGTGTAAGTGTTAGCTATTCTTGCTACAACTGCTATTATCACAATTCTCAGTCTGGCCCAAGTCAGTTAGCTAACAGAATTGTAGGAGGGAAACAGAAGCAATTCTAGTTGCAAAATTAATTGCAGCTATTATCACTGAATTTTCTCCCAGCAAAAAGCAGGTGAGGCTCATAGCCATGACCCTTGCAACAGCGAATCTGAGTTTCACTTGAAGTTGGTAGTTCTCCAGGCAAACTGAAAGGCCATTGATTCCTTATCCAACCCAACACATAAAAAAATGATGTGTAATATCAACTTTTAAGAACCGAACTTGCACCCAATGGATAGCTTCTTGATGTTTAGTAATCCAGTGACTTCCTTGATCATCAAAGCCCTTCCCCAGGTTAAGTTGGAACAGAAATAAACATTATGGAGTATCCACTACATCTTGGAAGTTAGTGTTAAAAGTTGGTATCTCTGGTTTCATGTAAAAACTGAGATTGAAAGAGACAAAATAATTAATCCAACATAGCAAGGCTTAGCGAGAGGCCGCACTGTGTCCTTAGGACACATCTACCTGGCCTTCTGACACCAAAGCCCGTGGTCTTTTCATAATCCTCATCTCCTCATGAGACCCTGGATGTGAGGAGAGATGCCTCTAGCCAAAGTCTACCAAGAAGAAGAGAACTGTGAGTTTGAGGACATCAAAGCAGCTGTCAATTCTCTTAGCACATCCAAAGGTGGGAGTAAAATCACTGACATGCAGAGAAGGACGTCAATCTCAGTACAAGTTAATACACTGGGCCCACAGTCCTTTGTTGTGAGCACTGGGGGAGTGGATCAGCATTCTTGGCTTCCCACTATCCACCAGATGCCAGTGGCAGCATGCCCACACCAGTTGCTACAAACAAAAATGTCTGCGGGGATAATGTTCACAAGGGAACAAAATCATTCCTCCTTGAGAAACCCTGCCCAGGGCCAAGACTTCACAATTCTACTTGCAGAAAGGAATTAACTGATGAATAGAAACAGCCTGGGTCAACATCGGTCTGAGGACAATTAAGGGCTGAACCAAGGATGAAAATGAGAAGATTTATTTCTATGTCCTGTCTTCCGTGTGAGGCCGTGAGCTGACTGGCCCGAAGCTAAGTAGCGAATACCAGAGAGTTGCTGATCCACACAGCCAAGCTGTGCTTTACTTAGTTTTCTGGTGAAATTACTGATGGTTGAGCGGACAAGTTAATCAGAAAACTACTACTTATGATGTTGTTTTTGCAAGTATTTCTGTCCTACGTATAAAGGTAAGGGCATAAATCCCCTTCAGTATTGACACATATACAGTCACATTTATATAATCAACATTTCTGGATATATAAGATACATGTATGACACACACATATACACACACAAACTGTATAATAAACAAAACGTATACCTATTCAGTATCATCTTCTGGAGGTTTTCTCGCAGGTGTCAAAGCAGTGTCCCTTGGAGTCAATAGCTCAAGCTTTCAAGTTCTTTTCTATACCCGAATTGGTGTTCTGCCAAGTGTCCTTAAATAAGTTTGTCTAAGTTTCTTGTGTCTCAGTTTCTGCATCTGTCAAACAGGGACAATAACAATATCTTACCAGGATCTAACTCCTGCCCTATAAGTCCAGCACTTGAGAGATGGCAGGCAGAAGGAGCACGAGTTCAAGGCTATGTGAGATCCTGTCTCAACAAAACAAAAACAAAATTAATATTATTTTACCCAATATTGTTAACAATTAAATAAGTAAATACTTCTATCCAACATGCTAAGTACTGTGGAAAGTGCCTAACAGATAACAGGTAGTCATTTTTTATTAACTAGTGCTGTGATACTGGCATCACTATTTAAAGATAATATGCATTTAGACAAAACATTGCTAGTTGTCTCATAGTCTTGTTCTTTTACTTGGTGATATATCATAAACATCTTCACATCACTAAATCTTTTACATGATCCTTTATGATACAGATCTACATTCTTTAACATAAATTGCTTTTCCCGTGTGTGTGTGTGTGTGTGTGTGTGTGTGTGTGTGTGTGTGTATGCATGCACATGTACATGTTCATCTGTGTACACATATGTCTGTAGGTGCACTCAGTCATGGGTGTGGGTGGACACGAAGGTCAGAGGTAGATGTGGAGAGTCATCCTCATCGCTCTCATCTTATATGTTGAGACAGGGTCTCTCAGAACTGGCAGCTCAGTGTAGATGTCCAGTGAGCCTCCAGAACTGCCTCTTTGTCCCACAAGTGCTGGGGTTACACATGCACCACCATGTGCAACTTTTCACAGGGTTGCTACTGAAGATTCAAACTCAGGTTCCCATGCTCACAAAGCAAGCACTTTACCCACTAAGACACCTCCCTGGCCCCTTGGAGTCCCACAATGGGATGTGCAGAAGTATTGCTGCTGAGCATGTTTGAACATCGATTTTAGTACTTCCTTGGGAGACAGTCCTAGAAGAAAAGTTGTTGAGATAAAAGGAGCATTTATTTTGAAGCCCACTGATACAAGTTAGATCTTGAACTGCATATCACCCAGCATTCTCTGTGGTATTTTACATTTGGTTTGTTGTGAAGAAGGCATAGGAGATTGCCATTGAGTCTCAAGTCATTAATTTAAGTCAAGATATTTAACCCCTCAGCTCTCTGAACAGCAGCTGGATCCTGAAATGCACAGTGTGGGTGATGTGAGCAGCCAGTGAAGGTGATTTGCTGGGGACCAGGAGTTGGCAACCATGCTAGCGTCTCTCCAGCACCAGGCTATATTATGTGTCAGCATTTTCTGATATACCTCATCTGACCCTGGGTGTCAGGCATCCTCAGCTTCACACCATGAAGAATGGGGGGAAGTCAGAGCAGTGGCCGCACCAACACATATTTTCATGCTTTCTCTCCTCATTTATTCTACTCATGGAGAATTCCTCTTGGCAAGGTGTTTCTGCCCTGTGTCAGCAGTCTTGTATAAATTGCACTGTGTTCCTAAAATAGTGAAAGGGCTACAATGTCTCAGGGGCAGAAAATGACCTGAAACTATTCCTCTGAAGGAAAACCTTGCTAGAAGAAGCTGATCACACTGAACTGCAGGGGTGGTGGTGGTAGGACACTAGGGTCAAACCCATTAGCCCGGCGCTCAATGCCAGCCTGCTGATGAAGGGGGAAGTCTGAAAAGTGAATCATCAGTACCCATACTTCCGTATCTAGAGATGCAAAATCGAGGATTCACGAAACTCAACACTGCTCAGATCCTCAAGGTCAGCCACATTGGCTCAGTAGCTACTGTCTGAAGAGCTACTTCCGAATTCCATTTAAGAATATGCTAAGTGAGATTCAAGTTCTGCTCGGATGTCCACAGTAGCGGACAACCCAACACTTCATGCGGAAGGCGCTCTCTATGGAACTCTAACTAAAAGGTTCATCCCTTCTGCAAGCTCCAAGTCCCTAAACAAAATGAGCAGTGAGGAGTGAGTGACCTAAGGTGTTTGAAAAACATTACTTAGCAATGAATTTAGGTCTAATATTGCTATAACAAATCACCACAAATTTGACTTAAATATATATATATATATAATAGTTTATATATTCTTATACTTCTGTAGGTCAGAAGTGTAGCACTGGCATCAGAAAACTAAAACTAAAGCAAGGCTGGCTGCTTCTGGAGTCTCTCGCAGCTTTTAGTGGCCAGACACATTTCTTTTGGGTTGTGGAAGTCAATGGCTGCAAATTCAGTGCTATAGCATGTTGCTGGCTCTCCTTGCATCTTCATAGCTTGTCCCCTGGCCACAACAGGGAAAGGTCCTCACTCTCAAAGCCCAATATAATTAAATGCATGGACACCCAGAAAATGCAGGATATCTGAGATTTTTTGTAGCATGAATCTTAAATGCTCTTATTAATAAAAACAAACCCAGAGCCAGGTATTGGGGTGAATGCTGGAAGATCAGAGAAGCAGAACAAGCCACAGCCACCTCACCTTGCCAGTTCCTCAGCTGATCCTGTTTCCTCAGACTGGGAGCCTCTGTGTCCTCATCCAAATGGATATCAGCTGAAGTGCTTCTCGAAAGCCTGAAAGCTTAATCAGCCTAGTTCCTGGTTTTCACGCCTTATATACCTTTCTTCTTTCTGCCCTCACTTCCTGGGATTAAAGGCTCACTTTCTGGGATTAAAGGCGTGAGTCACCATGCTTGGCTGTATCCTTGAACACACAGAGATCCAGGTAGATCTCTGCCTCTGGAATGCTAGGATTAAAGGCATGTGCTACCACTGCCTATCCTCTATGTTTAATATTGTGGCAGTTCTGTTCTCTGACCCCAGATAAGTTTATTAGTGTGCACAATATTTCAGGGAACACAATACCACCACAATTTTTCTCTTTCTTAACTTTGAAGTCCCCTTTACCATGAAAAGTAATATTCACAGATTCCAGGGATTAGAAGCCCAGTGACCTCTTCTGTTTTTATGAAGGGAGAATTATTCTGCCTGCTGTGTTAATTATTTTCAACACATTTTACTTAAAATGGCAATTAATAGCTTAAATGTATCATTGTGCCTTCCAAAGTCTAAACATTGTTGTAGGTACCCTCTACACATTACCTAAAAACTTTTGTAAAAATACGACAAAGTCGGTGTCACTCTCCACTTTATAGATAGTGAAAAGGAGAGTGAGGAGCTGAGTTAGAAGACATTCACATGCAGAGATCCCTGGCTACTCAGAGGCAGTACAAAGTAGTGTGTAGGCAGTCACTTCCCAATGAAACACCTGCTCCCTTGTGTAAACCTTCCCAGCAACCACACTCAGCTGGAGCTTGGCCAGCATCTCTTTGTGGGGGAAACCCTGCCTCTCCAGCAAGAGCCTACAGTTTAAGATTTCTCTGATGCCACAGGCTCCATCTGCAGCACAAGTGAAATCTGGAGATGAAGATTTGAAGCTTCCTTAGGGGGAGGGGTATCTCTTTTAAACCCGCTGGTGATTTTGGATAGCACATGACTGACAGGGCCCTTGGGCTAGTCCTTAGCATCATCCACTCCACAGCCAGTATCAACATGATTGTTTCTGTCCTGCTGAGACCTTAAATAGTACCTCCTGATAGCCAGGCTACCTTTCCTAGCTTTGTCTTTCTATAAAGAGCATGGGAGGGCTCCTAGGCTATTGAAAATAAATGTCATAGAATAAATGCTTGTATGTGTTGGGTTAGTTTAAATTACTCTGAGGACACTGAGAGTGAAAACAGGTAATTCAAAATGAAGTCTCCTTAAAATAACTTCATATCCCAGACACCCAAAACGTTAATGTCACCTTTCTGCAAGATGCTGAAATAACAATGCATGTGTCATATATATGTCAGGGCCAAAAAGTGACAGAATTAAAGAAAATAAATAAATTTCAAAATATTGACATTTACTGAGCACCTTCTGTTTGCCAGGAGCTTGGAGAAATAGATGGAATTTCCTCTATGGAACAGTTATAAATAATCAAATGTTACTGGTCAAGATCCAGAATCTTAGAAACTTTTATAGATCTGAGGTCACCCTGCAGGAAGTTGGTAAGGCCTGAGATTTTCTAATTGAGTCAAGAATCCACTCCACTATGTATTTGCTGAAAGAGGTCACACTCAAGGATACAGGCAGGACAAGAGTCTTCCCTGATTCATGTGGAGGTGGCATGACTTGGCAAAGATATTTATGTGCTCATGGGTTCTATGGGAAACAGGAAACGTTAAAGCTGAAGGTTAAGGACAAGTGTCTACTGTTAATTTAACTCCAGCTATTGAAATCTCAGTGCACCTAACAGATTGGGTGAAAGTGACTGCTGGTGATTACATAGCACCCTCTCAGAGAGGCTCAGAGCTCTGTGGAGATTCAGTCACATTCATCTTCTCAACAGCTCTGAAATGGAGCAGACACCACAAATTACCTTCTGTTTACAAATAGAGAAACTACAGCATTTGCCCAAGGTCACTAGGGAACTGGAAAGGCAGAAGCCCTCAGACTACCACCCAGGCTGCTCACCCATTAACAGTGGTGAACGCAATGCGATTCATGGGGAGACATCCAGTCAGCCTTGTGGCACCACTTCCAATTTCTGCATCCACGGCCTCTGTATCCATCATCCTTCCAGGTTGTCACTGATGTTACAGGGAGATTCCTCCATGTGACAAACAGCACGTTTCCGTTGTTGAAAAATAATCCATCTAGGAAAGGTGAAGATATATGAGTCAAGTTACTTATCTAATCAAAGAGCCTCAAAGTTCTGGCCAGAGAGATCCTCAAGGATGTTCCCAAGAGGATCACTCACCTCAAGAAGAACACCAACGGAAGAAAGCATGAAAGGAAGGAAAACCAAGAGAGGCCTTGTTGAGAATGGACTTGCAAGGGACACCCAGGGCAGACTGTATGGACCATGCCCAAGGGTGCCTACTGATCCTAAAGTACTTCTCAGGTCTGGCACTCCTCAGTGTTTGTCATCACTGATGGCATGATTGTCTTCAAGGGTTGAGTTCGTTGATCTTACAGATTCTTGCAGCCGTAACAAGTGGTTCCCACAGGGTTTTCCTAGAAGCCCAGTGTGTTTTCTAAAAGCCTTATGTTACTCACTGTACACAGGTGGAATTCAGTGTAGCCTTAAACAAAAAATGTGATTTATGCTCCAACCAGTGTAGCTAGAGTTATCCTGCCTGGCCCACAGTCAGGACAAATTTCTGTCACCTGCCAGTCCCACAGCCACTCAGACCCAACCAAGTAAACACAGAGACTTATATTGCTTACAAACTGTATGGCCATGGCAGGCTTTTTGCTAACTGTTCTTATATCTTAATTTAGTCCATTTCTATAAATCTATACCTTGCCACATGGCTCATGACTTACCAGCATCTTCACATGCTGTTTGTCATGGTGGCGGCTGGCAGTGTCTCCCTCATCCTTCTACTTCCCAGAATTCTCCTCTTTCCTTGTCCCGCCTATACTTTCTGCCTGGCCACTGGCCAATCAGTGTTTTATTTATACAGAATGATATCCACAGCACTTCCCTTTTCTTTTTATTCAAAAAGAAAGGTTTTAACCTTAACAAAGTAAAATTACATATAATTTGGGAATTTGGGCGTAGCTTCTCTTACTACTCCCTGCTGTAGAGGGGCGCTGTATCTTATGGGGAAACAAAGAAAATTTTAGGATTATGGAGTAGTCCATGAGGCTGTATTGTCTAAGCCAGTTGTGTTCAAACCATTCTGGATATTGGATCATCTGGGCCTTAGTGTCATCAGAGACCTTTCAGGGGGTCTTGGCTGGTCAAACCTGATGTATCTTAATCTGGAACAAATCCATAGCCTATTGCTTTCTGTGGGAACAAAAGCAGAGCCTCTTTTCCAAGGCAACATATCCTTATATCCAAATTTTGAGTCAAGGCACCTTTAAAATATAAATTTTGGCATAACTCAACAGCTTTTGCAATCAAATGTTTTTCTTCAGTTACGAATATCAAAGAGAACATAATCCAGATTCTCTGTGTGGTAGCCATTTTTACGTGGCTTATTTTTTATATTACCTTGAGCCTACTGCTTTAAACTGCAGCATTCTAAGACTGAAATGGCACTGTGGCTGCTGGCTCCACCCACGTCAGCTTCCCAACATGGCAGTGATACGTTTACCGCCAGCTCTGGGAGCCATCTTGGGTCTATGCTTTTATCCAAGCAACATGTAGTTCAGAAACCTCTTTTTGTTTTGTACTAGCAAAGGCTAAATCCACCACGCAGCTTAATGTGCCACTTGCAGAGGCCTCATTCCTGCCATACTGCAGGTTGAGCGCACACGCCAGGAACCCGCCATAGTAGTTCAAACACACAGGCTGCCACTAGCTTGAAGAGACAACTAGGAACTGTTTTTAGCTCCGTTTTAGAATCTTTTTACTCAGGTTTTAGGTGGAAACTCTTGCCAACATGTTGGGCACCATTTGTAGCTGGAGAGTTTTCTCTCCAGGTCCCACCAAGCTCCAGCAGTCCAACAGCCCACTTATAAAAGAAACACACAGACGCTTATATTATTTAAAATGTTTGGCCTAATGGCTCAGGCTTCTTGCTAACTGTTCTTATATCTTGATTTAGTCCATTTCTATAAATCTATACCTTGGCACGTGGCTTGTGGCTTACCAGCATCTTCACATGCTGCTTGTCATGTGAAGTGACACGGCGACTGGCAGTGTCTCCCTCAGCCTTCCACTTCCCAGAATTCTCCTCTCTCCTTGTCCCGCCTATACTTTCTGCCTGGCCACTGGCCAATCAGTGTTTTATTTATACAGAATGATATCCACAACAAACCAGAGTTATTGCATTTACATATACACCTTTGCAGTTAAAAATGCTGCTCTGAGCACAAGACTTAACACTTGGGATATACCACACCAGCAGAACTGACTGTGGTGGTGGGCCGACCACCAAGCTCTTCTCAGTTCCTAGAGAAGTTCAGGAGTGCCAGCTCCTCCCAAAGACCAAAGGATAGCTGTTATGAAAACTTTATGATACATGAGTTGGGAAGTGCTATAGTTTCAAATTTAATGAATTTGATGAAAACTCTATGTCATTTCACCTTATTGGTTGATTCACTTTATGAGTTGGTTTACCCCACTGCTTCCCCCTTTTCAATGAATTAAGTCCCAAGGGAAATAGAAAGGAAAGTGGAAAGAAGCAATCTGAATTAAGGGGAAACAGGGTAGTTTCAATAAATCCTACTACATACACAATAGAAGAGACCAAAATTGTTTTATTACTATTGTTTTATTTATTTGTTTATTTTACATCCCAGCCACAGTTTCCCCTCCCTCCTTTCCTCCCAGTCCCTCCCCACCACTCCTCTTCTGTCCCCACCCCCACATCCACTCCTCCTCAGTTTCTGCTCCAAAAGGACAGAACTCCCATGGATATCAACAGAACATGGCATATCGAGTTGCACTAAGACTAAGTACCTTTCTATGTATTAAGGCTGGGCAAGATGATACAGTATGAGGAATAGGGTCCCAAAAGCTGCCACAAGAGTCAGAGACAGCACCTGTTCCCTCTGTTAGGAGTCCCACAAGGGCACCAAGCTACACAACTGTAACAAATACACAGAGTGCCTAGGTCAGTCCCATGCAGGCTCCCTGGTTGTTGATTCAGTCTCTGTGAGCCCATATGAGCCCAGGTTAGTTGATTGTGTGGTTTTTCTTGTGGTGTCCTTGACATGAGCAATCAGGTTAGAGGTGTGATAGATGGGGAGAGTACTGAAGAGACTACTGGAAAGGATAGGGTATTTCAGGGTCAGGTGGAAACCTGCCACAAGAGAATCTCCCGGGAATCTACAAGGATGACCCCAGCTAAGACTCCTAGCAATAGTAGATATGTATCCTAAACTGGCCATCCCTATGACCAGATTAGCACCTAGCCCAATTGTTATCAGAGAGGCTTCATTCAGCAATTGATGGAAACAGATGTAGACCCACAGCCAAACATCAAGGGGAGCTCAGGGGATCCTGCAGAGGGGTCAAGGAGACCAAAATGTTAAAAGACACAGCACAATCGAGCTTGAACGAAAGTGAACATAGCACCTGGAAGTATTTGCAATCAGCCTCCAGAGCTCAGCCCAGAGTTTCAGGAATTCAGCAAGATCTGGCCACAAGAGGGGCCTGGGAAGATCATTCAGTCAGTAAAAATGATTGCTGTGCAAGCATAAAGACATGAGTTTGATCCTCAGAACCCACACTAAAAATAAACAAATAAAAGTACAATTTTAAAAACAAAAACACAATCCCAGTGATGAGGAGGTGGAAGCAGATAATCCCTGGTGCTCCACAGCCAGTCAGCCTAATTAAACCAATAAGTTCCAGATCTCAGTAAGAGAGCCTGTCTCAAAAGACAAGGTAGACAGTGTCTAAGTAATGGTGTCTGAAGTTACTCTCTAGCCTGGAAATGCAAGAATGAATGCACACATGTGAATGAACACACACACACACACAGAGAGAGAGAGAGAGAGAGAGAGAGAGAGAGAGAGAGAGAGAGAGAGAGAGAGAGAAATCAGTGGCCATAGAGGAAGAACTGTGAAACAAACACCCAATCTTCAAGCAATCTCAATTATAACTATAAATACATATATTATTAATAAAACATTTAAAATCTAATGTGTTAGGTGTTAGAATAAAATGCCATGGCAGAGCATAATTTATTCTAGAAATGAATGTGGTTGTGGCCTGATATTAGGAAATCTATAATTTATCACATTGAGAGGTGAGAGAAAAGCCATCTAATTCCTTCAATAGATGTTTTGAGAAATTGATAAAATTTTTAAGTATATAGCCTAGAAATAGAACATTCCTTAAAATGCTGTACCTATAATCCAATCAATAGCAACAAAATACCTAAATCTAAAACTCTTTCAATATTTTTAATATAAACAATGAGAAAAGTGTCCAATATCACAACTAATATTTTAACATTTTCCTGAAAATTCTGGACAACAAGATGAGGTCATAAAAGTAAAAGAATTCATACATATTAGGAAACAAGAAAAAATTTTATACCTATTTACATACAATAAAAATATCCACCTGAAAAAGTGCAAAACAAAACATCGAAATATTGAGACTAACAGAAAAATTCAGAAACATGATGATTAAAATGCAAAATGTGTATCTTGAACTCATCATAACTGAGATTCCACAAGATCAGGCCAGCCAAAATTCCAACATCTGAGGAGCTATTGGCAGCTGATGGCTACTAAGAGAGGGATAGTCACTTTTCTTTGGGGGTTCCAGCCCCAAGAAGCTACCTGTGCACCAGCAGATGCTCCTACACGTGTGCACACACAGGTAGCACTAAATGGACTCAGTGGGTACCACATGTTTTTAAAAGAGAAAGAGAGACAGCGAGGTTGGGAGTGGACAGGTTGCGGGGAGGGATAGGAGAAGAATCAGAAGGAAGTGCATGGGGATGGACTGTCTCCAAATACATTGTATGTTCGAAAGACAATGAAATAAAATTTTAGTTTTTTAGAAGTGTGTGTTATGATAGACTTCTCTATATATATCTGTTAAAACGTCTTTCTCCACAAACTTCGACTATATCTTGTTAAGATCTAGCATGGAGCCGGGCGGTGGTGGCGCACGCCTTTAATCCCAGCACTCGGGAGGCAGAGCCAGGCGGATCTCTGTGAGTTCGAGGCCAGCCTGGGC